ATTAAAAATGGAATCATTGTGGTTAGGAAGATGACTCAGTGGATAAAGTGCTTACCATTCAAACATAAAGGATCTGAATTCAAATCCCAGAACCCACCTAAAGCTGGATGCAGGAGTATGTGTCTGTAATCATAGGACTCCCACCCAGTGAAGACTGGTGGAGACAGGAGACTCCCCAGAGGCTCCCAGGCCAGCTAGCCCAGCATACACAGGCAAACAACAAACAAAAAGACCCTGAAAGGTGGAAGGTGAGGACCAACACACAAAGTTGTCTCTTGGCCTCTATATGTGCACTGTGGTATGGACACACCTGCATTCACAAATTCACACATGCAAAGATTTTTTTAAGGGGCTGTATAGATGGCTCAGTGGTTAAGAGCACTGGCTACTCTTGCAGAGGACCTGGGTTCGGTTCCCAGTACCCACATGGTGCTAACAGCTGTCTGTATCTCCAGTTCCAGGGAATCTGACACCCTCTCCTGACCTCTGCAAGCATTGCATGACATGAATGCACTTACATACATGCAAGCAGTACATTCATACACATAAAAAATAAAAATTTTAATAATAAAAAAGACTTCAAATGGAATCATTAGCCTACAGACCCCCAAACACGTTTTTATTAGTGTATGTTTACTGTAAAATGATGAGTTTCATGATGGCATTTTCATACATGTAATCACGTACTTTGCTTATATCCAACCCCCATTGCCCTTTCCTACTCTCCCTTGCCTTCTTTGTGGTTCCCTTCCTTCCCCCAAATTAATCCCCCATCTACTCTCATATCAATATTATTAGTAGAAATGGTGGTGGTGGTGGTGGTGGTGGTGTTAGTATCATTGGTATATTAAATCTGGATTCCATTTATGAGAGAAAACGATATTTGACTATGTGAGGCTGGTTGAGTTCACTTAACATGATGCTTTTGGTTCCATTAATTTTCTCTCTAATACAATTTTGTTCTTCTTTGTGGTTGAATAAAACTCTATTGTGCTCATATACCACATTTTCTTTACCCTTTCATATTTTAATGAACGTCTAGGCTGATCTTGCAATCTGGCTGTTATGCATAGTGCTGCAAAACCATGAGTGTGTAGGTATCTCGGTGCCATGGCCAAAAGCATTTGTTTCTACAGACAATAGCTCTATTTCAGAAAGTCTTTTCACCAATCATAAAGTGAGAGTACAATGTGGCTTAGATATATATTATATATATATTCAGTTGTTATCTATTGATTAAGTGTATAATAATCAACTTTTTCTTGTGGTTATTATAGACTTTAGAACAAAGTACTTGGTTTACTTTCTGTCATCAGTACATTGTAGAAAAAACTGAAGGAGGTAAAAGAATTTTTATAACCTCTAAGAGGGGTTAAGCAATTGGTAAATACATATTTTTCAGCGTCGGTCTTCTAGAGTCCCGAATCTGTCACCCTTCTCAGGAAGAACCAACCATAAGAAGAAAACTTGAGAGCGTCGTTGGTTCTATTTATTGTTATCACTTAATTGCATCCAAATCCAAGCATCACTTCACATCTTTAGTTCTAATTGCTTCTGAGAGTTCTATACACAGACAATAGCAAGAATGACTCTTCAAAACAGAAGTCATAGATACAGGTCCTTCCTGATCTTGATGAATTAAAAGCAAAGGAAGGGAGACAGTTTGTTTTGCAAGAAGCCATCTGTTTGTTTGTATACAGCATTTATATTCAAGTTTAAGGAAATTAATCACGTAAAAGCATCAGAATTCATAACCATGTAAACAAGAGTACTGAAGAAGTAGACACTGATAAAACTAAGGGGCTAATGAGGTTTTCAACCTCTTTAGTTTAATCTTTTCTAGCCCCTAGGAGACCTCTCCGGTGTGTGTACAGTACATGACTTACTTTGCATTGATTCTTGCTACTTCAGAACTCAAAACATGAATCAACAACAAGCACTAAATTAATGAATTGGCTGCTGTCAGCATAACAACTGGACCAGCACGATCCTTTATGTAAAGAACATATCTGGTCCTTGATTAATAGGCATTTGAGTTTATCATAATAAAAATCTGTCCCTATCCCTGAATATGTGAAGGATGTGACTCAATGATTTAGGATGTGCTTAGCATATGCAAAGTCATGACTCTAATTCCTAGCACAAAAAGAAAAAAATAATATAAAGAAATGAACCAATTTCACATGGGTATAGCTTTGGAATATGTGCCAACTCCTTATTGATCACCCAAATGTTGTCAGGAGATAAGAAGATGAATATTTTTAAGGACTTGAGTCTGGACATTTGACTCGAGTCTCCTATGTTTCATGTGTAAGCTTGGCATGAGTGCCAGAATTTTAGCAGTCACTGCCTGTTACCTATCTGTGGCACTAAGTTCATTACTTTTACAGTACAATTTGTATCCCATGGCAGACATTCTTAGAATTCTTTCTGCACTTAAATATCTTCAGTTGACTACACCTAAGGAAGAGTACAGATTGCTGTACTATGCCCTTAGGCCTGTATTCTGAAAGATGTGTATGTGGATAGCAGGTTTTCAGCTACAGGAAGGAAAGGCAGGATAGTACAATACAGAGTTCCTAAAGTATTCTTAACCATCAGTCTTCTCACCTATTAAAAAGAGGTAATAATAGCATCAATTAGGATTAAATGAAATAATCCATGATAAGTTCTTAACAGTGCTAAGGATCTGGGGTATGACTTATTCCTTCAGCCATCATATACTTTTTGTAACATTATATATGCACATATATTTGCACATATATATATATATATACACATACATACATATATATATTTGGTAGGTGTATTATTTACATTAGCTATCTCTGTGACTAAATAGCTGGCAAGCAAGAAGTGACCTAAGGGAAAAGTTGATTTGGGCTCACAGCTTAAGTCTATCATGGCTGGGAAGGCATAGCAGCTCTGTGGCAGCAGAAATGTGTGGCACTGCTTGCTCACATCTCTGTGGATCAGGAAGCAGAGATGGAACAGGAAGTAGGGCCAAGCTATAACCCTTAAAGCCTGTTGACAGTGACTGACTTCCTCCAGCAAGTTACCACCTCTTAGAAATTTCTCAAACTGCCAGTGTCACCAGCTGTGTGCCAAGTATTAAAATACATAATCCAACTTCACAAATGGCAGTTATATTCTCTTAATAGATGAAATTTTAGTGCAGAGCACAGGAAGAAGGGCCCAATGATAAATGGAGAGTTGATGAATACCAGACAATGGATTTAATCACTACAAAATCTATGCATGTATTGAAACATCTCCCTGTACTCCACAAATAAATACAATTATTGTCATTTAGAAAGTAAAACCAAAATAAAGCTGTCCCGTGAAATATAAGTTCAAAATTCCTAGTAAGGATTTTAATGTAAGAGATTTCTTTTAATAAATATTTATATACCTCACTACCTGAAATGTAATCCTGTGAATATGGTAGATATTTAATCTATGTTTTCTTTTGTTTTCTGTGTTTTTCTATTTTATCTTGCCTGCAATTGTATACTTTGGTTTTCTATATGGATTTGGGGAAATATGGCTGAATTCATTCTTTCATTCTTGAGGCATGTATATAGTCATTATATTAATTTACATTGCTTGTTACCATTGTACTCTCTGACATCATTTATGAAATCATGTTGTGTCAAGAATTAAGGAACCACATGTGTATGCATGTAATTTGGAATTCATAAACCATCTCTGCTAAGCAAGCCTATTAAAACTAAATGGTGAATTTGAAAATGGATACTCTTTTAAAGATTTATTTTAATTGAATTTATATGAGGGTATGTCTGTGTGTAGGTATGTGCATGTGTGTGCAGGTGCCCTAGGGTACCAGAGGTGTCAGAGTCCTCTGGAGCTGGAGTTACAGGCAGTTGTGATGTTGGGAACCAAATTCATCCTCTGGAGGAGTAGTATGCTGTCTTAACAGCTGAGCAATCTCCAGTCTGAACACTAATACTCTTTACATTGAAGAAGCAAATACATGTGTCACTTGGTCCATGATAGTCATCAAATTTTTTATATTTGTAATAGAATTTCCTAAAGTATACTAGTTTCAAAGTGGTAATCTGTAAATTGAGCAGTGTTTTATGCAGATTGCAAAGAGTCTTGACAAAGATATAAACAAACCCATATTTATGAAGTACGGAAAGAAGGACCATTTTGTGGCTACCATGTTCACAATGAGGTTAAACAAAACAACTGGAAAACCTTGATCCCAAAGAGGAGGGCAATTAAAGCTAAATGAAAACAGAATTCTTAGCACTTCTTAGCCTTTTGGCTAAGATCAAATAAAAACAGAATTTTTTAATCTGACATCATTTGATTTTGCTTTGTGTAGAAATTTTTGTTTTGTTGTTCCTTTGCAATTTTCCCGAATTTTCTAAGTTTGCCAAACTAAAACACTAATCATTTTTACAACAGAAAAAGTAAAGCCCAAAAAACTTCAAATTACATGGCTCTTCCTGTTTGTATGCAGCAGAGATGTAGCTTTTATTGAGCCTGGAGAGCTATGCAAAGCCTTCTAAAAGAGGCTTTTTCAGAGCAGCCTGCCAAGCAGTAGGTCCTTCCATGCTTATCTTCAGAGGCCTCACCTCGCTGTTCTCAAGCTAGTCCTCTTGCTCTGTGAAAGTGCACATAATGAGCAGTTTCATCTTTTTATATTGAAAATAACCTCCTGTCTGAATCTGGGCTTCCCAGGTGACTCAAGTTGGTTGATCTCAGCTTAAGGAAAACCACCAAACAAATGACTTTCCTTCTGCTCTCAAATTCTACCCTTTATTTCCACATAAGCTCATAAACTGTTATCAGTGTTGTTGTTTTTCTTTTGTTGTTGTTTGGTTTGTGGGGTGGGTTTGGAAGTGCTAGAAATTGAGCTGAGTGCTAGAAATTGAGCATATATATGTATATATGTATCCCTGTATGACTGGCATGCACTATACCACTGAGCCACATCCACAGCCCCTGTTGCTTTCCTTTTAAATTTCCAGATCCAACAAAGGTAATGGTTCCGCCTTCCAGCATGGATGTCACTGTGGGAGAAAGCATTGTTCTGCCATGCCAGGTGACACATGATCACTCACTCGACATTGTATTTACTTGGTCATTTAATGGGCACCTGATAGACTTCGACAAAGATGGGGACCACTTTGAAAGAGTGGGAGGGGTAAGTATTAATATCATACTATCCACAGGAAATAACATATAACCAAACTTCTGGAAATTGACCCAAATTAATGCATTTAGATTAGCTTGAAAAAAAAAGTAAAGTCACTGTTTTGTTCCAGCATCTTATTTCACAAAACTCTTGGTTAATTCCTGTTCCTTTTGCATCACTTATTAAGTAACACTACATAGCAAGCTTTATCTTTACTGGCACAAAAATTCAACCCGTTAGTTTCTGTTGTTGTTGTTGTTTTAATTGCTGTGTGTGAAGAAGAAAATTGAGACTCGGACATTGTATGAAGTGCCTTTTCTCTACATCTAAACAGCAATACTCAGCTTTGAACTTCAAAGCCCAAACTTCACACCCATTATCATATAACATACCACAAAAATGGTTAGAAAATAAACGATTATTTGCTTGTATGTTTTTAGGCTGCTTTTGTTCTCCTTTTGGCTCTTTAGAAGACTCATCATCATAAAGTTGGGGCTTGCTCTCTTGATTCTGCATATTTACTGCAGTTACTGTTCTTTATTATCTCCATGGAACCTGACTCCCAATGCTTCAAGTTTTGAGATGCTTTACTTACTGGAAAATACACATTATCCTTGAATATGTAGCAAGAGAAGGTTAAATCTGAAAATAATTTGTATCTATAACAGTCATTCTTCACAATTATTTTTCTGCCCTAACACAGCTCTACATTCCCAATGGTAATAAAGATTCACTCTACTACTTTCTTGGTGAGCCTAATCAGAAAACAGTGGAGTATACAACTGGAGCTACGATTTGCAAAGACCTTCCCTCCCTCAACTGCCTTAAGAAGCTGATTTACTGATTTGCCTTTCTCATCCCAAGTGTGCCCCTTAGCTTGAGTATAAATGCCCTGAAGCTAACAACTAGATCCATGGGATATATTTGGGATATATGTGCCACCTAACTATTATAATAATTCTGTTCATTACATGCATGCTGACTTTGTTATAGAGTTTCAGTTACAGAACACTAAAAGTGGTTTGAATGACTATTTTCTCAGTTCTCCCAAGGGTGGTATCCAATGGATACCATTTTAGATGCATGGGAGAGAAGTTAATTCATTACACCAGTGGATGTCTTTGTTCATTAGGGATTCTCTCTTGGAACATTGGTTGAGAAAGACCAGATAACATTGCCAATATTATCATTCTGGACATCTTTCATGTAGTTCAGCTTAATAAATTTGACTTAATGAGAGAGCTACTACCTCATGAAAGCATTAATGATACCAAATACTTAGAGGTCTAAAAATATACAAAGCCCTACGCCTACCACAAAAGAAATACTTGGTAAAGTACTTTCATAGCTATATAATCTGAAAGAAGGGTGCCATTAATCGTAATAACTGGACAGGATAGATTGAGAAAACTCTTCATAGACTAGGCAGAACAGTTGTTTGTCCCACTAAAACCAAGTTCACTGGCAAAGTAAATATGAAAAATACTATCTCTCAAAATTTCATGAGCACCAGCTAATTAGAATGGATTGATGACTGAAAAAGTTCCTGGCCTATCAGACACAGCGTCTACTATGCACCACCTAGGCAGAGGTGCACAGGGGAGACATCTTGCTGGGAGGAAAGACTAAGGGATACTCTTCATCTGCAGAGCTTCTCTCATCCAGTCATCCATAGTAGCACAAAACCTGTAATCCCCAAATTTAAGAAGCAGGAGCAGGAAGACCCAACCTTGAGAAAGCATGTGCTACAGAGTAAGCTCCAAGCCAGCCTGGTCTCTGGTCAGCACAGAAAGACCCTTATAAAAACAAACAAACAAAAAAAAATTAGGGGCTGGAGAGATGGCTCAGTGGTTAAGAGTGCTCTTGCAGAGGACCTGGGTTCAGTTCCCAGCACTTATATGGCAGCTAATTACTGTCCATAACTCCAGTTCCAGGGGATCTGATGCCCTCTTCTGACCTCTATGGGCATTGTGTGACATGCATGCACTTACATACATGCAGGCAATACACTCATACACACAAAAAATAAAAATAACAAGTAAAATATTTTTTTTTAATTTTTAAACAAAAAAATTGCTGTCACTTGATTTCTCCAAACCACTATCCACTACTTGCTAAAAAAACAAGTGAGCTCTAAGTATATTAGCCACCAGATCATTAATTTTGATACAATGAGGACGTTACAATAGAGGAGGGACGTGTGTCCCATTCTGAATGCAAACCGTCTCAATTTGTGCTTCCTGAGTCAGCGTGGTGGAAACAGTGGTTGGTAGTTAGCTTACTTGGGTTTTAGGACAGTTACTATTTTGCTATTCTCTGATGCCCTCGTGTGTTCAATCAGAAACAGAACAGAGACCACAGTTGGAACTGGGGGAAATAAGCTGCTACTTTTGTGTCTTCTCAAGGAGAATTGTGAATGAGGATCTCAAGAAGAGTTTGATTTGGACATTTCTGAGGAAAAGAGTAGCCTTCCCCTTCTTCATCTTGACTTTATTTCTGATCTCAGTTTGATTTTAAAGCTCTAAATCTAGCCCAAATTTAAGAATAGCTAGAATACAGGCTAAAATACATAATCATGCAGTTGTGTTAGTAGATTGCTATGCACTGAAATATTCAGGTTACAGTAAGTTTCTTTGACATTAAGCCCCTAGCAAAGAGGACGAATCACTGAGACAGGGTAAGCATTTTCTTAATGCCAATATAACTTCCACCTTAAAATCAGTATGGCTTCCATTTTAAAATCAATATGGCTTCCTACCCCTCTGCCCACATCTCCTTATGAGGCTTATTTTTTATTTAAACCTCTATTTGCAGCTCCAACTTGTGAACTGTCTTAGGTAAAGAAAATTAATAACACTGATGATGATTATGATTATTATGATTATTCCTTTTATTTGCAAAGTACCTAGTCATTTATCAAGCATGTTCTTATCATATATTAGTTCACTAATCCTCACTGAATCTCTATGAAATAGATTAGTAATTATTTTCCCATTTTTACTGAGCAATTGTAAGATGTGATCAGTATAGAGTAGAATTGGATGAGAACACAAGTGTTATAAATAAAAGAACTTTCAGATAAAAAATATCTCCGCTCTTCTTGAATTAGATTTAAGGCCTCTGGCATGATTGTTTCACAAAGAAAATTGATCATGGCCATCAATAATGTGAGTTTAAATTTACTCTATGCTTCATAGTCTGTAAAAGGATTTCACATAGACATACAGTCTCATTTGATTCTCACAACACAGACAGTAGCAAGGCATCCTTCTTTCGAAGGTCAATAAACTAAGGTGCAGACAGATTAAGAGACTTAGATGAAATCACACAGCAGGGATCAGCCCCAAACAACGAAGTATCAAAACTACAGCTGTCCCCTCAGGATGTACTTCTGCCTGTCTTCTTCTAATCCTATTTGCAACAATTGGCACTTCTGTCTTTTCCATTGCCCTTAGTAAATATGAATGTGACCTGTTGTGCAGAAACAGAAGGAAACCAAGTACTCGTTGATTTCAAATAAGGATAAGCGCTTTCTGGAGGGGAGTATAAAATTATCCTCAGTAACGGATTAGGACTGGGGAGATGGCTCTGTTGGTAAAGTCCTTGTCTTATAAGCACAAAGACTTGAGTTTGATCCCCTGGACCACATAAAGCTCAGGCATGGTGGCATATACTTGTAATCCCAGAACCTAGGAGAAAGAATCCATCAGATCCCTGGGGGCTCCCTGGTCAGCCAGGCTTTGTCTACTTGTCATGTTCCAGGTAAATAAGGTACCTTGTCTGAATAAACAAGGTAGATAAAGCCTAAGGGTGGCACTTAATAGTTGTCCTCTGATCTTCATATGCACTCACACACATGCACGAGCACATACACAAACACACACACACACACACACAGAGAACAGGGATTTGAGTGACTCTATCATTTGCTAGCTACCAAGTAACATTTCTGTGTTAGAGTTTTCTCATCTGTAAAATAAGAGTAGCAAGAGTAACTGCCTCAGAGAACATGTATCAAGCGTGTTCACAGAATAAAACACTTAGAAAGTTCTACCATATGTGAAATATCACCCGCTTCATTGCGATTTGGAGGAATAGAAGCTTCAAGGTTTGTGTCAACTTCCCATTCTGTAGTTTGGAATCAGAAAACTTGGGAAACACAATAGGCACTAAATTTGGGGATTCAGAAAGAGGGGAGAACATCCAAATGTAACACAGGGATCGTTACTTTCTTATTCTCCAAGCTTTTCAATAGCTGGACCATGAAACAATACTCCAAGGTATAGCAGTTCATTGAAATGCTACCTTTGTGATACATTGCAGAGGGACATCCTCTTATTTATTAAGAGCGCTTTTCTGGAGAACAGTGTAGAAATATTTCTGGGCCACATAGACATCCATACTAGGATGTAATTAGTCCTATTCATCTGCTAATCAAACATGCATTTGGCATTCGGAAAACAAATTAGCACCATTCCACACTAGGTGATTCCAGATTTCCTTGGAGAGTCTGGCCTTCTTAATCCTTTAATTCAAACCTGAGAGCAATCAAAATGCTGGCTGCAAGACAGGGTTATGCAGAAAAATGCAGATGCCTCTAAATGTAGGTTTCCCCTTTCCAAATATAAAATTTCAAAGGTTGAGAGTTGCCAGCACAGGCAATGCGCTGAGAACACGCTGAAGGAAATCGGTAAGACTAGATCCAAAGCCACAGCACGTTGAGCGATGCCATCAGGAGCAGTGGAGGGATCCAGAGGCCCAGAGGAGGCAGACACCTGAGCTCCTGTGGAAGGTGTGCCTTCTGAGAACACTGGTGTTCTTAGCTCTCAGGCTGGCTCACGTATTTTCAATAGGCCATGGCTTGCATCACTAATGTTTTCACAAGCCAGTATAAAATAAATCCATTAGTCACAGTGTCCTTCATGTGATAATGCTATTTAGGGCTCATTAAAAAGTAATTGTAGCCACTTTCCTCTACTTTATCAGCAGGATTCAGCTGGTGATTTGATGATCCGAAACATCCAGCTGAAGCATGCTGGGAAATACATCTGCATGGTCCAAACAAGTGTGGACAAACTCTCTGCTTCTGCGGACCTGATTGTAAGAGGTATTATATATATGTATATACATGTATTTTTTTTTCTTTTTGTCCTTTAAAAATAAATGTCTGATATGTACTCTACCACAGTGTTATGAAATCCTGGCGGTTTGGAATTATGTAAAAAAGTCAGGCATATGCCAAGTGTGGTGGCACATGCATTTGATCCCAGCAATTGGGAAGCAGAGGAAGGCAGATCTCTGTGAGATGGAGGCCACCTAGTCTACTCAGCGAGTTCCAGGCTATCCATGGCTACAAGATGTTAAGGAGGCATTATCTCAACAAAACAAAACAGTCATAAATAAGCTAACCATTGTGCCCAGTGGTTAACAGCCTGCAGCAGCTTCCAGAGCACATGTCCATCATAGAAGACGGACAACCAGAAAGTGCACTGAGCACATCCAGCTCCTTTACACTAAAAAGAACTCCTGTGAACACCCTAATTATTGCTGTTGGAGTTGACAGGATGTTCTAGAATAACTTTAGTTTAACAAAAACAGTTTAAAAAGGGATTCAACTGTGCCTATTTGTTTCCTCTGGGCTGAACCACAATAGTGTTTTAGGCTAATGGTGTAACAGTGACTTTAGCAAATTCATGATGTCTTTCATTTTTTTCCTCTTAAAAATCATTAGAGATGCCCAGGTTTTCAATGATGGTTTGAGAAGGAAACACTCCTTAGTACTTGGGATGTAGTAAATAGATTTTGACTTTCGTGAGATCTGAGTCCTACTGATGAACAAAGTTGAACCTAGCAAGTATGGCCACCCTGAATGAGGATACCAGCTGGAGACACTCCAGGTTTCACCAAGACAATTTCTAAAATAACTCTGAATGTGCTTTTAAGATTTGTTTTAAGATAGAGTCTTGCTAAATAGTTCATGCTGGTTTTCAGCTCACCTCCCTCCTGCTTTAGTCTCCTGAGTGTTGGGATTACAAGTGTGTACCACCACACCCAACCATCAAAAACCATTTTTTAAAATTATTTATTTAACAACCACATAATTAGAAGAAGCATTTCATTACATCTGCATTAACATATTCAATAACAATTTTCTGAGCTAGGCTGCATCTCTTACAAAATTGGCTGTACATTTTTAGGTTTACAGTTGAATTATTACAGTTATACAATATTGTACTCAGTATAAACCCTATAAGACATAAAATTAAAT